TTGATCTATTTGTATTGGTGCTGCTATACCTTGTTCTTGTTTTTCTAATCTTTTTCCTTTCCTAAAACCTTGTCTAGTCATAATAGTGGGTGCATTTTGGTTGATGTTATTTGTTAATGTCAAACCTAATTGATCTAGGACATCTCGTCCCCATAAATTTATAGGAAGATGATCCAATACATATGGCTGTATAGTTCCTTCACATCCTTCAGGATCCTTCCAATCTAATACCATTGCACTTCTATGGGGATTAGTTGCCACTCGTAGGCCTCGAAGCGTTTGAGTGGCTTGTTGTAATGGCCAATGTTTTGGCCATTCTTGACGAGAGATGATGCTAAGGTCTGCACCTGTATCCAGTAGCCCATTAAATTCATGTCCTTGAATATTTAGTTTTAGCATGGGGCGAGAATCTAAATTTAAAGAAAGCATAGCCCAATCTACACCTGTGGAGCCTAATCCCTTGGAACCTCTTTCTACAGTACGACTGGAAAATTTATCATGTAGGCTGGGTATTATTAGTAACTGTGCTATTCTATCTCCTGGTGAAATTACTGATATACCCTTTGGAGAACTGGCTATAATTTTTATTTCACCTTCATAATCGGGATCAATTACTCCAGGACTTATCATAAGTCCTTTTAGAGTAGAAGAGCTGCGTCCCAATAATAAGCCTACTGTTCCTTTGGGAAGAGGTCCTTTCACCCCTGTGGGAATGATTTGAACTCCCATCTCTGGAGTTAGTACTGCTCTGGCGGAGGCGCAGATGTCCAACCCTGCGCTCCCTCTGGTTTGTCTGATGAGGGATCTGATGGACAATGTGTCCTGGGCACTACCCTGATGGGGTTGCTGGGTTCCTCCAGTGCTCCGTATATTTGTGGTTTTGGGCCCCGGAGCATTGGGCCCCCCTGTCCATTTTTTGGCAATGGAGCCCGATGCCTTTCTCCACGATATTGTGGATAAACACCTGGTCCTTGTTCATTTTTTGATAATGGAGTACCCTCTATGGTGGTTTGAGAACGGCATTCATTAGCCCAATGTCTCCCTCTACGGCATCGTGGGCAAATACCTGGTATTCTACTCCTTTGATACCTAGTTTTGTTAAACCCTCCTCCAATGGGGCAATTCCTTTTAAAATGTCCTGTTTGTTCACAATTGTAGCATGTTCTTGGCCTGGCATCTAAAGCCTGTTTTACTGCAGCTGCCACAATTTGCCCTTGTTCAATAATGTCTCTGGCATCTAAAGCCTGTTTGACTGCAGCTGCCACGACTTGCTCTTGTTCATTAATGTCTCTACATAATTTAATATATGTGTTTAAATCTTCATGTTTCCATGGTCTAATGATATCTCTGCACCAACGATTCGCTTGCTCATAAGCCAGGTGTTTTAGTAATGGCATTGCTTGTTCTGTATTCCCAAAAACTCTGGTAGCTGTTTGAATAAGCCTATCTACAAATTCAGCATAAGGTTCATTAGCTCCTTGTATTACCTTAGATAATTGACCTTGTAAACCTCCATGTCCTTGTAAAGTCTTCCATGCCTTAATTGCATCTGCAGCAATTTGTGCATATACACCAGGATCATATGCAATTTGTTGCTGCTGATCCTCATAAGGTCCCTTTCCTAACAACATATCTAGATTTCTCTGAGGATAACCAGCTGCTGCATTTCGCCTAGCCGTCTCCTTGCAAAATTCCTCATTGGCAACCTTCCATAACAGGTATTGTCCTCCATTTAGCACAGCTTTACACATATTAGCCCAATCTGCTGGCGTCATGTTCAAGTTGTTAATGGATTCGACCATGCTTACAGTGAAGGGTGCTTGAGGACCATAGGTTGTTACAGCCTCTTTTAGCTGCTTCACTGTTTTGAAATTTAAAACTTGGTAAAATCGCTGCCCTCCTGCCTCAAATACAGGGCATGTTAATATTTGAGATCTTGTCTCAGGATCCCAACTATCAACTGCGGGGGTTGGGGGCCTCCCAGCATATGGAGGTGGCGCTGTTGGTTGGACACTTACGCCCTCTGGTGATAGAAAGGTGTTAGTAGCAGTCTCCTGTAGAGGTGGTGCTGTTGGTTGGACACTTACACCCTCTGGTGATAGAAAGGTGTTAGTAGCAGTCTCCTGTTGTAACTTTCCCCCTGATGGCTTTTTCTGTTTTACACTTTCTTTCTCTGTCTGACTAGCTTGAGAGGCCTTCTCTTTTACTTGAATCTTTTCCTCTGTCTGACTAACTTGAGAGACCTTCTCTTTTACTTGAATCATTATGTCTTCTCCTTCCTCTACCATTGTCTGAACTGAAGGCTTTGGACTAAGCAAACAAGATATGAATGTCCACAATGGCAATGTGCCATCTGGCAGAGTCCCTGGGCTTTTCTTTTCTACTCTTTTTAAATCTTCACCATGATGGTTCCATTGTGATATATTTAACAACTCCTCCTTAAAAAGCCATGGGCTACATTTTTGTATTGTATCAACGTATGCCCTGACTGCTCTTGATTTTACTGGGATGCCTCCTTCCTCTAACAATTTACTTAACACTCTTTCAGTTTGTTTTTTACTAATTTCTGATCCCATATTTCTACTATAATACAACCCAACAAGATGACACCAAACAAAACCGAGACAGAATGAAATAAAAAGGGAACAACAAAAAGTCATTATAGCCTTTCTATCCTCCTGACATGTGCATCCGTCCTTTCTCCCTATCTGTTCCTCAGACGTAAATAGTTTTTCCTCAGATGTGAGTGGTTTTTCTTCCGTCTCACTCATCTCCAGGGACAGGCAACTTAAAACAAAAGTGAAGCAAAATAAAAGAGGAATCTTAAAATGGCTACCCATCCTCTCGCCCTGCCCTCAGGGGCAAGCAGTTTCACTTACCCTCAGTCGCTCCCCATGCGAGCCACCAAATGCCGCAGTCTGGCTGGGCACAATCAGGAGCCACTTGTCAAAAGAAACTAACTTTATTTTTAGAACCACACACGCCAAACAAAATAGCCTCTCAGGAAAAACCCTCAGAGCCTCAACTGCCACCACCGGCTTTCCACAAGCCTCTCTCTCCCACACAAGCTTCTCTCCACCTCCCACAATCCTCCTGCTCTTGAGGCCGATTGGCTGGGTCACGTGGGCGGAGCCAAAAAAGTCCCCCAATGAGCAGCTCCGTGGTCTGAAAGGGCAGGGAAACAGCCCAATGAGCATCACCGCAGAGGAGCCAATCAGCTAGATGTTGCTGGGGCCGAGGAGCCAATCAGCTAGATGTTGCTGGGGCCGAGGAGCCAATCAGCTAGATGTTGCTGGGGCCGCTGTGAGCCAATCATCAGCCAGCAGCTGGAACTTTGCTGGCAGCTGGAAGTTTGCTGGGGCCCCTTTGGCTGTGGCTCTCAACAATGAACCTACATGAGAATGTCCCCTGCCCAGCCTTCAGGGAAGGAGTCAGAGCAGTGGCCAGGTGTATTGAGGAGGCTGTAGAGCACATCCTGGTCAGGGAGGAGACCCTCTGTCCCATCACCATGGAGCCTAGAGAGCCCCATGTGGGGAGCCCTGAGCCTCTGCCCTGGGTGCTGGAGTGTGCAGAGGAGGCTGGTCCCAGGGAGACCAGGCAGGGCAGAGTGGAAGGTGATGGGAGGGCAGGGCTGGAGCCTCGGGCAGGGCCTGAGGCCCTTGTTCAGGGCATGATTATGGATCTCGCCCTGTCCCCTCATTACTCTGAGAGTCTCTGTCCCTGTCCCAGCAGAGGTGAAGATGTCCTGAGTACTGGCCTTTGGGTGGAGAAGAAATCTTGGCCAGAGATAGCCACCCTGGGTCCCTGGAGCGTGAGGGCCACTGAGTGCTCTGCTGGCTGCAGGGCCTTGGGACCCTCACCCTTCCCTATGGACAGACCGACCTTTGCCCTGGCTCCCACCTCCCAGCTCCTGTCTCCCAGGAAGAGAAACCCTGTGGGAGCAACTTAGAGACCACGATTCCCCTGCGTGACACAGGAGAGAGCTGACGGGGAACTTGAGGGGAGTGTCTGCCAAGAGACGTTCCCACAAGAACCAAAAGAGCAAAGGAGGGAAGGGGGTCTTTATTCAGCGCCTTTCCAGGTGACCAGTACTGGCCCTTCCCTCTCCCTGGAATGCCATGTTCCTGGGCACAGGCAGCCTAGTGCTGGCCGTTCAGAGCCCAGGGCAGCCTGTGTCTCTAGAATCCCCAGGGACCCCTCCCCCTCTAGGTTCCAGAGTCCTATAGGGTCAGGCTCCACCTCTGTCCCATTACCCAGCATCTGGGGTCTAGCAGGAACCTCCCTCAGCCCACATGGAGCATCGTGTGGTGGAAACTAAGAATCCATATCAGCCTTGTGGTCGACCCGGCAGTAGATGTCCAGGTCAGGGTTTAGCAATTCCTGAAAAAGAACAAAGAGGCCTCTGACCCTTCTGAACAAGGGGACCATGAACTCCTAGGCCCTGGCCCACCTGGGATTGCTCTGTCCCTGTGTCTGTCTGGGCTCAGAGGCTCCTGTTCCCAGGCCCCCCCCATCCCCTGCTCACCACCCCCTGATCCCATTTTGGCTGCTGTTTCCTGGCAAGATCAGGAAGGTGTGGGGAGGGGCATCTCTTGGGTATGCCCTGGACTGTGGGCAAGGGTCACCACCCACACTCACCTGGTAGATGGGAACAGCGGATCTGTGGCCAGGGGGTGGGGCCTGGCAGGGAGGGAGATTGGAAATCAGGGTCAGCAAAGGGAGGATCCTGAAGGCTGAGACTCCAGTGAGCAGGTGCTGGGTGGTGCCTGGAAGGTTCTGGTCTCTGACAGGCCAGAGCTTACTCCCTGTGTCTGTTTAGCCCTTTCTGCTCAGGAGGTACCAGCTCTGGGTCCTGAGCACCAGCCTCCACTTCAGGACAGACACCCCAGTTTCTGTCCAGACTATGGTCCCCATCATTAACCTAGGATCACTGATAGAAGCTCCCAGCTCCCACTCTGCACCAGGACTCTCCTGAGATGGCAGGAAGTAGGGTTGGCTGAAGACAGAGTGATGGTGGTCCTGTCCCTGAGATTGGCCAAGTCTCTGGCCAGGGCCAGGCTAACCCTGTCCTGGTCCATCATGAGTGGGGGTGTCTGTGCTGTGTGGGGGTTGACAGTGCCCCTGCCCTGAGACTGCAGAGCTAGTCCCCTGTGTAGAGACAGCTGGGGGGACTTACCAGGGAGGTGGAAGTGTCAGAGGGACCTTGGCCTGGGGACAGAGACAAGAGTTAGCAGTAGTGTGAAGAGGGCTGGGCCCCTTCTGCAGGTAGGGCTGGGGGACCTCAACTATCAGAGTGTCAGGGGAGGCAGCATGTCCTGGGAGAGACCCTTTTGCCCTTGTAGTGGTCCAAAGAACCAAGGAACATGAGGAGGAGACCAGATGCCACAAGTCTGGGCTGGCTTGGCCAGGTGGGTCCCCTGTTGTGTTTGATGACAGGGATCCTTGAATCCCCAGTGTAAACTTTCAACCCTGGACGTGTGGTTGTGGGCAAGGGTGGACACTATGGGGCAGGCCTAGGGGCTCCCAGTCACCCTCAGGCTGAGGGGGCACTTACCGGGTCTTGATGCTGGGGTGCGGTGGTCTCTGAGGCCAAGCTGGACACTGGCCCTAGGAAAGGTCAGGCTTATTCATGAGGGTCATGGACTGGGGCAAGATAGGGGATGAGGAGGGTACCCCATTTCCAAGGAGGGTGTGAAAGCTTCCTCTCCCCATCAGGTCTGGGTACCAGGGGGCCCAGGAGAGGGGAGGGGAGGAAAGGCCTTAAGAAGACACTGCTGCCCTGGGCCAAGGTGAAAGACCCTCCCAGGTGCAGACCCAGGAGAACGTTGGCTGAGGGACCCAGAAAAGGGACTGAAATTGAGGAAGAATTAAAGCAGGAGACTTTGACTGAGTGGAGGATGCATGCCACGGGGGTGGGGACAGGGAAGCAGGGTCACCAAGTCGGCAAGACGTTTGGGAACCACGTGCATCTTGAAAATCCCTGACCCCCATTGGTGATCCTGCTGTGGAGGACCCTCTACTCAGGCCAGGAGATGAGGTGATGTGACAGTGGCCTTTTGTGCTCTCCACCTACCTGACCAGGAGACAGAGAACTTTCCAGGACACACGACTGGCTGGGCCCTGGGATCCCACCTCACACATCAGGGGCCTTGGGTCACACAGGAGGTGTGGAGAGTGGACCCACCTTCCTCTCCAGGCCCCAGCCCTTGCCCTGAGTGACTTGGGACAGGACCCCTCATAAACATAGCTTCAGCCCTCTCTTGGTGTGGGGGCAAATACTGCAGGAGGTGCCGTTTTTGAACCCTAGTCTAGGGAGGGACACCAGTGCTATGGGGACAGGTCCTGGTGACCAATGTGCAGAGGAGGCAGCTCTTGAGCAATCAGCCCAGAGCCAGCAGCTGGTGAGGGACGGGGGGCGGCTGGGGTGAGAGGGGAGGGTCCTCGGGAAGTGGGGAGGTCAGAGTCAGGCCAGAGTCTGAGGATGGGTCTCCTTCCCTCAGGCCTGGGGTCACCTGGGGTGGGATCAGGTAGGGGAAGCCTGGGTACCTTCCAGTTCTTGTGTGGAGCAGGAAACACCCCAGAGCAGCCACCAGAGCCACCCCGACCAGGACCCCAGTCACGATGCCAGCGACGGCCCCCACAGGGAGGCCTGGGGTCCTCTCTTCTGCTGAAAGAGAAGAGAAAGGGGCTGAAGGGCAGGTCTTCAGGGGAACCAGCTGGGCCCTGCAGGGGCCCACAGAGGGTGGAAGGAAATGGCACCAAGGTCCCAGTGCAGTTTGTCATGTCGTCACCATGTCCTCCTGACTCTGCTTCTGGCGATTTCTTCACGTTTGGTTTTGAAACCTGCATGTGCTCTAGCCTGACCCTCTCCACATGCAGCTGGGCCACATCCTGCTCATGCTCCTGTTAAGGTCTCTTCCTCTTCTCTTTTATTTTAATATATTTTTTACATGTTGAAGGTCCTTTATTTAATTCATTTGTGTGTTTGATGCTGAGAATTGAACCCGGGTTCTCACACAGGCCGGGCAAGTGCTCTACCACTGAGCCCCACCCCACCCCCCTCTTCCTCTTTTCTTCCTTCCATCACAGGACAGTGTCAGTGGGCAGCCCTCACAGACTGTCTAGCCCAGGCCCAGCCTCGGGTACAGATCAGAACCAAGGTGACATCAAGGCACCTAATTTCTGCGTAGTCAACCACATTCTCTCCAAGCTCTGGCCTCTACCACATGCTCATGGCTGGTGCCATATGATGGCCCTTGACAGTGGAAATATATGACAGAAACACTGGTGGCACGGGGGCCACTCACAGATCACAGCCAGTCTGTAGCGGTCACTCCTGGTGGAACTGGCGGGGTTGGAGGCTTCACACTGATACTCCCCTGCATCCTCCTGTCTGACGGGGTCTATGCTGAGGGTCCTGTGGTCCGGGGACAGCTGCATCCTGTCTGTGAGCTGTAGAGTCTGGCTATTGAGGATCCACGTGATGGAGATTCCAGGGTCATCTGAGAAGCAGGTCATGGCCACAGAGTGTGGTTCTGTGTTGGTGGCTCTGAGGGAGGGCTGGGCCACAAGCCCTGTGGAAAAACAGCAAGGGGCTGACTGAGAGTGGGCCTCAGGCTAGGAAGTAACTTCTTCCATGTTGTTTCCAGAAAAATCAAGACTCCACACAGCACTCGATACTGTGCTCCAGGGTCCACTTACCAGAGACAGCAATATTCTTGGTTGTGGTCCTATTGAGGTTAGTGACAGAGTTATGGGCAACACACACATAGGATCCGCTATTATTTGTAGAGAGGTTGGGGACTGAGAGCTGTTGTGTGGATTCCAGGGGCCTCCCATTGAAAGACCAAGAGTACTGAGCAGGCGGGTTAGAGTCTGCGTGGCAGGAGAGGTTGAGATTTGTCCCTGAATGGAAATGTGAGTCTGGGGGGTTTATGATGGGTGCATCAGGACCATCTGGAGCAAACAGAATAAAGCCACATGTAATGTCATCAGAGGGAAGGGGAAGTTCCTAGACTGTAGAAGACCACAATATAACTACTGATCCATGTCACGACCTTCTTTTTTTTAAAACTTACAAGCAGGCTGGGGAGTACAGTGGTACAGCACCTGCCCAGCATGCAAGAGGCCCTGGGTTCAAATCCCAGCACCATACACACTCACAGAAAGTCTCAACCAAACCCCCTTGGTTCACTGAAATTAATCTGTGACATTCCCCTGCTTCTCAGTTCCAGGTGGCTGACCCCAGGCCTCCCCAGGGAACCACAAGCCCTCCCCTCCTATTCATGGCCCAAGGCTGGGCCTGCCTGGATATGCCTGGAGCAAATGGCACAGCCCATCCAGGTGCCCAGGAGAGAGGGTCTGTGTACTTGGACCCAAGAGGGACTAAGGGGCCCAGCCTCTGGCCCTGTGTATTTGAGTTCACAGCCAGGGTAATGGAGGAATAGAAGTTACTCACAGGAAATATTCAGGGTGAGTAGGTCACTGTGGTTGGCACTCACTGGGTTCTGGGTTTCACACTCATAGGGTCCTGTGTCATTCCTTGTGACATTGAATAAAGTGAGAGTCCTGTTGTTGTTGGACAGCTTCAGCCTGTCACCATCTAGGATCATCTGATTGTTTATCTTCCACAGGTAGCTCCCATAATTAATCTCAGGTTCACACGTTAATGCTAGAGAGTCCTCACCCTCCATGGGTTGGGAGTTGTTGATTGTGATGTTGGGTTTGGGTAATTTCTCTGTGCAGACAACAAGGAGAGGATTGCCCTGTGATCTGCACAAAGTTGTCTTTCCACCTGAGCTGGCCTCTCACCTCCCACCAACCTGAGTCCTGAAGAACCAGGCAGGAGTGGGTATCCTGGGCAGATGTAGGACGATCTGAGGGATCAGAAGACGTGGGGCCCCCTGGGCTGTGTCTGGGAGAAGCACAGAGTTTCTCACAGGTGCACTTAATTGCAGAGTTTGGTCCTGGACAGACCCAGGACTGGGAGTTAGAAACCCCTTGTCTCTGCTGGTCCTCGCTGGCCCTGGCTGGCCTTGAGACACAGAGTCCCTCCAGCTACATGGACTCCAGGGCTCGGCCCACGTGTGTGTCCTCTGAGCCTTTGGTTCTCAAGGCCATCCTAGACATGGGTCATGGTGGGACACCCCATTGTGCCTAAACCCCAAGAAGACCCCACAGCCTGATGTGAGAATGGGGTGTGTGAACAGAAACCAGGATACTGGGGGCAAGGTTGGCACACTAGGAGACCAGGGGGCATTCAGTTGGGTGGTCAGGCTGGGGCCACAAGGGGGCAGTTCTGCTCAGGTGTTTCCTGGTGACTGACAGGAGCCAGTGACACCTGAAAGGCAAAGCATGAGTCCAAGGAATGCTCTAGGGTGAGGGGGACAGACAAGGTTTAGAGCAGAATCATGCTCCTGTCCTTGGACTTTACATCCCTTCTCCCCCTGCAGAGAGCAGGTGAGGCATGTGGAATTGTCCTGAGAGACCAGTGGATGGTTCCAAACACATTAGCACTAAGAGGTGGAATGAGGGGACCAGGACCTTGCTGAAAATAGGGCCCTCGTGGGCTTGTGTGTGGCAGACCTGGGGTAGAAATGGGGGATGGTAAAGTTTTCCCATATGGGAATATAGTGTTTAATACCCAGGATCTAAGACTCCTTTCTGAAAGAAATATTTCTCTAAGGAGCACAATGTCTTAGAATGAGCTCTGAAGTCCTGCGGGGGTCACATTATGACCCAAGGCAGATGGTAAAGTCAGTTTGAAACCAGCAGCCTCCTGAGTAAGGAGAGACCTGTGGGTCCTGGTGGAGGACTGAACTCGTCAGAGGGGAAGTCTGTTATGTAAAATGAGGCACAACACCAAACTCAGGGAAGTATTATTGATCATGTTAATCAATCTAGAAGTCTATGTTCCCAATTGCTATGGAGACTCACGGAAAGTGGGAAGAATCTGACACAGGCCTGTGGATTGCCTTCTTCCTTTTCTTTTCACCCCAGGAAGTGCAATGAGATCATCAATTGTTCCATATCAGTGCCTAGAGCCTAATGCAAATGACCGTGGATGGAGCATCACACCATGTGGGGACAGACCTCCCTTGTGGTGAAGGTGTCCTCCTGAGGACACAGGCACATATGGAATAGACAGTTAGCCCCTGAGACAGCACCGTTCAGTCCAGCTCCCCCTTGGGGAAGGTCCTGGGAGTCACTGGAGGAGCATGAGCCCCACTTGGGGACCAGGATGGAGCCACCAGTCATCTGGGTGTAAGGAGCCTGGGACCTAGGGGCTTGCAGCCCTGTCCTCTGCCCCCCTTGCTGAGTCAGTGCAGAGAGTAGATGGAGGAGATGCTCAGGCCTGTGTCCTGGCCTATTTCACATGTCATTGTCATGGAAGGAAAGAGCCCTGGAAGGGACACAGTGGAGGCTCCTTCACAGTCGGGGACATTGTCCCTGATGCAGCCTGACAGGGGCACCTGCCTCGACTGTTTCTGTGCCCTTGACTCCTGCCCAGGAGGGGGCCTGGTCCCAGGAGTTGGCAGGAAGCGGACAGGACAGATGGCCATTAGTGCAGGAGGGAAGGGCATGGCTCATTGTGCAGGGCAGGGCCAGTCCTGCCTGAATGAGAAGGAGGGAGAGGACGGACAGGCAGGAGCAAGACAGCCAGAATCGCCATGGCAGGGAGCAGTGGGGTACAGTGACTTAAAGCCCCGGGTCCAAGAGCCTCATGGCTGCCTCAGAACTGACCCAGGGCCACCCTGAAGACCCTCCACAGCCCGGCCACCCCAAGGGCATCCTGTGATGTGGCTCCTGGGTGGCCTCAGGAGAGGTGGTTGATGGGATGGAGCAAGAGCCTCAGCCTCCAGGAGGGACAGGGAGCAGGTGGCAGAACCCCCTGGGATTGCACATGCAGGGTCCAGGCTCTGAAGGGGTTCAGGGTCATTCATTCATGATCCCTCCCCCCCTTATCACAAAACCATTGAGAGTTGGCCACACTGGGCCCTGTGCTGGCTGCAGGGTCCAGTGGGGAGAGAGAAAGGAAAGTCCTGTTCCTTACGCTCCAGAGGGCTGGGCTGGTGGCGCACACCTGTAATCCCAGTGGCTCAGGAGGCTGAGACAGGAGGATCATGAGTTCAAAGCCAGCCTCAGCAATGGTCAGGCTAAAGCAGCTCAGTGAGAACTTGTCTCTAAATAAAATACAAAACAGGGCTGGGATGTGGCTCAGTGGTCGAGTGCCCCTGAGTTCAATCCCTGGTACCCCCATTCCCCCACTCTCCCCAGAACAGAAAGAAAGAAACACCTTATGCCACAGAGGGAGTGACACCCAACACACCAGGAAACAGGAGACTTCAAGTTCAGTGAGGGAAGGCGTGGACCAGCTGGGGGAGGGGGAGGCCTGGACATTCTGTTGAGGCAGGTAATTTGGTTTCAGGGTAAAAATTGATTATCCTCCATTTGCTCTCACTCCCAGACCAGACTGTCCCCTCTAGCTTCCAGTGCCCTGAGCCAATGACTGGTCTCTGGTCCACAGACGCCTAATAGGCCCTCAGCATGCAGAGCACGGGGCTCTGGCTACACAGTCACATGCACCACTGACCTGCCACCCATGGTCTGTGTTCCCCGTGCCTCAGTTTCCCTTTATTGGATACATGGGAAGTGGTGTCTGTTCACCATGTTGTCTCTAAGTTAACCTTGAAATCCTCACAGTAACCTGACCTTGGTTTAGAGGAGCTGCCCCCAAAGAAAAAGCCCCTACTCTGATCTGCCTCCCAGTGAGAGCGCCCTGGGCTGGTCCCGGGAGGACCAGGAGCTCCAGGAGCATCTCTTTCCTCTGTTCCTCCCCTTGGGGACACGGACCTTCCTGTGGAGCCTCATAGAGGTCCATCAGGGCACCTGATTGGCCTGAGGCACCTGTCCCTCTGTGCTCACCACACCTAGTCCCAGGAGAAGGAGATGCCCAGGTGCCCTTGCCCAGATATGGCTCCTGAGACTGTGCCCTGGCTGGTGACCATTTCCAGGAGCTACCAGATCAGGTAGCCAGTAAATCATTGCTCCCCAGCAGCCCTCAACAGGAAGCCAAACTCCAACCCTGGCCATATGTCCTCAGGGTCACCTGGAGCCAGGAGCCTGGGACAGAGGTCTGGAGCAGGTACACCCTAGGACTAACCTTCTCTGTGATGACTCCAGGGCCCTCAGGCCAGGCCTGACTCAGTCCTGCAGGGTCTTTCTCAGGGCCATGCTCCTGGGAAGGACACAGGTGCTGGGCTGAGACTGCTCTGCTTGGGCCGAGTCTCCCACCAGACCACCCTGCTCTCTGCCAGTGCATTCAGGCAGAGGACTCGGATCTTCTGAAGTCTGTCTGCACTGTGTGTGTCCTGCACTAAATGCTCCAACTCCACTGTGGGGACGTAATGCACAGGAGGAGGTAGGCAGAGTCCAGGTCTCAAGGTCCTGTGTCTGCAATGGAGTTAACCCCTCCAACACCCAGAGGCCCTGGAGTGTCACTCACCATGTACGCGGAACTCTCCAGTTGCTAATTCAACTCTAACATTGGCAGTTATAGTTTGCAGGGCGTAGAATCCTGTGTCATTCTGTGTCACATTCTGTATCAGCAAGGATCCATTGGAGTATATTTTCTCTCTGCCACTGAATGCAGGCCCTGGGGTAGACACCTGTGTGGATACCACATATGATATAATTTCGTGTCTGCCATCTCCTGTTTCTCCTTTGAACCAGTTGTAGCCTATGATATTCTGTGATGCATTGTGGACAAGGAGAAGAACGTCTGTCCCTTCAGCAGCATCGAAAGGCACTGGTTCAATAATGAGCTGCGCTGTGGGGTGCGGGTTCCAGAAGGTTAACAGTGAGACTAGGAGGGAAGAGAGAGAAATCCATCAATACTGGGCCCTTCGTATTGGTTGGAAAGATGGGGCCCACATCCTCAGCAGGAGTCCTCATTCCTCAGCCTTGGGGTGTGTGGTATGCATGTGTGTCCCTGGGTCAAGGCCAGCAGCATGACCTCCATTCCTTCATGACCCCTGTACCTGTCATCCTCTCTTAGGAACACCTTTCCCCAGGTGTCTGCAAGGCTGGCCCCTCAGTGCCCTCAGATCCCTGCTCACACCCAGGGCATCTGGGCATCCGCCTCCCCTGACCACCTCCTTACAGACCCCAGGTCTTCCCGTGGACATTTCCCTGCTCTCTGCCCTCCTAGATCTACACAGCACCTGGCCTCACCAGCAGATCTCCCTCTGGCCTGGCTTCCTGCCCTCTAGAGAGGAAGCTCCAGGAGGCAGAGACTAGTCTGACCCTTGTGGTAGCCCAGGGCCTGGACCAGGCTCAGCCTCCTGAGGATGAGTGAAGCTGTGTCCCCACCCTGAGCGTCCAGGTGTCTGTGTGTCAATGTCTGAGGCTGGTGGCTGCAGACAATGTCCACTGCTCTTTCTATTTGGAGAGTGGCCCTGACAGAGCTGTTAACACTGATTCTCAAAATACAATGGCCCCTGGTGATTAACATAGTAAAGAGAACCCTGAGCTTTCCATCCCCCTTCATCAGCTCCAGGTCACTCAGAGTTTCCTGTTGGTGAGCTTCTGTCTGTCTTCTGTGTTCTGTTCCCATTGGGTTCCCAGTGAAGCCCTGTGTCCCCTGTGAGGGTCGTGTCCTCCAGGGGACACCAGCAAGAGTGTGCTCCACCTCCCACCCTCCTCTGGGAACTGTCCCCTCTTACCTGCCAGCAGGATCCCCTGCCAGGGGATGCCCCCTCTGCAGGGACAGGCTGAGGGGGGCTGCATGGTCCCTGCTGCTCTGTCCCCTCTGTGGAAGGAGCTTCACTGAGACCCCCTGGGAAGCCGAGGTCCAGGCCACTCAGCCCTGCTGCCTGCTCCTCTCTGAGCTCAGCCTCCTCCCAGGGCAGGAGCACTTTCCTGGGTCACAGGGCTGGGGGCGGGGTCTCTGTGGAGGAACCTCTCTGTCCCCTCCCTCTCAGTCCTGCCTCCTGTCCCTTCTGCTTTCCCTGTTGGGTTTCACTACTGCATGCCACACCCTGAGGAGCAAGGCAGGTGGGGACGCTGTCCCCTGAGAGAAGTGGCTCACCCAGCACTGGCCTCAGCTGTGTCCTGGCCTCAGGGCTCTCAGCACCACCCAGGGAACCCCTGGGGTCCCCTCACCCCTGGGCATATTTCCTTTATGATGAGAGTCCCAGTTTAGCCCTGTGTCTTCCCCAAAGCTCTAGGAAGGAGGATTTCCTCCCAGCAGGCAGGGGACAGAGAGAGCTCTGGGGTCCAGAAAGGGGCCCTCTGAGTGATGGCTGGTGAGGGGACCTGCTCTCTGTACCTGGTGTCCCCAGCTTGGCCTCTGAGTGGCTATCTCAGGACTTCACACCCTTTGTATCCTGGGAGGGGAGGACTGTGGTAGTGGAGGTAGGTGACCATGGGCTCCTTGTTCCTCAGGGAGAGATTTTAGGGAGACCCTCACTCTTCATTTTTTGGTGCAGCTGTGGCTCAGGCCTGCCCATGCCTTCCTTGGGTGGCCTCTGTCCTCTACCTAGTGATTCTCCTGTGGTCACCCTGACTTTCCCCATGGGTGATGCCAGGAGGCAGGGCCTGCTCAGAGACCCCTGGCTGTGCAGGGTCCTCACAGGCCCAGGAAGGAGTGGGTGTGGGAGCTTAGCAGGTTCGTGGGAGGCACCCTGCAGTCTACTGGGGATGGAAATCAGACCACATTTCCACCTCTTGACTCAAAGCCTAGTCCAAGTGTCAGAATCAATCTGCCAAGTGTTTACTGTGAGTGCCAATGTTGCCCCTGGTGGTTATGAGGAGACCTGTGGCCAGTGTCAAGGACTCAAGCAGGGATGCTGTCCAGGATCCAAATGGTGAGAACTGGCCCTGACCCTGGGCACAGGAGGCTCTGTCAGGCTGTATGATGGTTCCTGTTCACCTTGGGTCCCAAGGCTGACTGACTGTCCAATGCAGGGTGAATATAGGGAATGACGGGAGCTGTCCTGGGGACTCCTGCTCAAGAGTAGGGAGAACTGTGCACCCAGGGGATGGGCAGCCTCAGGAAAGACCATCTGTTCTTGAGCCTTCAAAGGAAGGGCCTTGGGAAGAGCTCTCGAAGCTTTAGGGTGGAAGCACTGGCTTTGTGAGCAGGGTCTGCAGGTGGCTGGTTTGTTTCTTGTGTTTAAATACTTGGATCTTAGTCTCAAAGGTCCTGCAGGGTTGTCATATGAGTGTTTTGAAGACTATCCGGCCAGATGCATGACACAGCCTCTCATCCCAGCTGTTCAGGAGGCTGAGGCAGGAGGAGCACTAGTTTGAGGCCAGCCCATGCAACTTAGTGAGACCTTGTCGCAAGATAAAAAAAAATGAAATGTAGTCCAGTGGCAGAGTGCCCTGGGGCCAATCCCTAGTTCCTCACGCCTGTCCCCTACCTTACATACACACAGACACACACACACACACACACACACACACACTATCTGAGCAGGGTGGGTGTATTTTACACCTTTCCTAGAGACTTTTCATTGTGTAATGTTTACAACAAAAATGTGCTATATGAACCCTTTTAACTGTACAAATACATGCAATGATTCCAGTCAAATATACAGTGACCACTACTATTTCCAGAATCTTTTTATCGCCTGCACTAAAACTCAAAGCATTATGCAATCACATCTCAGGACCCCCAAGCCCCAGGTAAACTTGAATCTATTTCCTGTCTCTATGAATTTGCCTATTCCAGATATTTCATATGAATGAAATTAAACAACCACGTACCATTTTGCTTCTTGTATAATCATGTTTTCAGGTTTACTCAGGTTGTGGTGTGCATCAGAAGTTTATTTTTTTTGTGGCTGATTAATACTCCAACATATTTATTTGTAAGCCATGTTTATTTATGTATTCCTCTGTTGATGGACACTTGGGTGGTTTCCACACTCTGTCTAAGGTTAAAAATGGCGAGCCTTAGCCTGTGAGGAACTATTGGAGTCCCTGTTTCCATCCTCTGGGCCCATCCCCAGCTGTGGGAGTGCTGGGTAGATGAGCTTCTGCCTGGCTCTGTTAGAAGTGCTGAAGTCCTCAGGGCTCAGAGTCCCTCAGGAATGTAGGATAGTGTGGAGTGAGGTGTCATTGTGATTTTGGTTGTTTCCATAGTGACTGGTGACACTGAGCATCTTGTCATGTACTTGTTGGCCACTGCAACATCTCCGGAGATGTGGCTATCCAAACCTTTGCCTCCCCCTTCTCTTTCACTGCTGGGGATTGATCTGAGGGGTGCTGTACCTCTGAGCTACACCCCCAGCCTTTACATATATTTATATATTTTTGTTTTGGGACAGTTCCCCTGGCTGGCTTCAAACTTGCCAATCTCAAGTCTTAGATGCCTGGGGTTACAGACACCCAGGACTGTGCCGGGCTCCTTGGCCTCTTTTAAACATAGGTTATTCTTTGGTTGCACATTTGTACCTGTTCTTTATTCATCCTAGCATGAAACCCATATCCCATGTATGATTTGCAAATATTTTCTTCCATTCTGTCACTTCAGTTTTGTTTTTTTAACTCATCCACTCATTATTTTATTAGTGATTTTGTTAAAAGCCTATGGATCGGGCTGGGGATGTGGCTCAAGCGGTAGCACGCTTGCCTGGCATGCGTGCGGCCCGGGTTTGATCCTCAGCACCACATACACACAAAGATGTTGTGTCTGCCGAAAACTAAAAAATAAATATTAAATTCTCTCTCTCTCTCTCTCTCTCTCTCTCTCTCTCTCTCTTTCTTTAAAAAAAAAGCCTATGGATCAATATTCATTTACAAAAACCTGTTCAGTCTTTTATGGTAAATACTTTTAGGTTTAAAAAAATAAATTCATTATCACATTTGAACGTCTTTACAAGTGAGGATCCATTGTCCCTCTGCCTCCCTCTTCCTGGGAGGTGGTATTGAGGTGGGTCTGTTCGGGATTCTTCTCCCCCTTCTCGGCCTCTCCCTCTCTCTCTTTCCAGAAGCAGAGGATTTTGTGTCCTGGGCATTTTTCTTTCTCTCCCAACAGCTCAGAGGACTGGGGCAGCTTATCTTCCTGCAGTTGTTCTTCTCTGTGCAGAGTTTCTGCTAAACCTGCTCTTCTTGGAGTTGCTGCTACTCTGTTCCTCGAGCATGTGGACAAGCTGGTCACTGTCACTAAAGCAGTTGTGTTGGTAGAGTTTGTGCAAAACCTTTAGAGTTCTGCACTAAGCCTGAGAGGAGCTCCAGCCACTTCTTTACCTTCAAAGACAGATTCTGATCCCATTTTGCTACAAAATCATGATGAGGATCGCCCTGTCCAAACATGAGAGAGGACATTCTGATCCATTCATGGCATTCTTGGGATGGGGACAATGTCAGAGTTAGTTTTCCTATGCCATCAGTATTGCTCCATGGAAGTCCTTCCTCATGTCTTTTTGCTGGCACCCATCTGAGGATACCCAGCTAAATCTCCTCTATGACACAGTGAGGCAGCTGCTCCCACAGCTGGATGTGGCCCAAGGAGCTCACTGGGACCAGGCAGTGCCCAACAGACCTGAGCATAGGTGGCTGCTTTCCAATGGGGGTTCAGCTTCCAGAAGTTCCCAGTACCTGTGAGCAGAGTCAGAGGCAGAGAAGGCAGGACTCCAGGGAGAACTGGAATTATAGAAAAAAAAAAAAAGAGTCTGAGACTTTTCATGTCTAACTCCTCAGCCACCAGCCAGGGCCCCTGTGGACATGGGATATCCCAGGCTCAAGGATAGCACTGGGAAGCGCCCAGCTGCAGTGGGTGGCACTGTTGGCCCTGGAGGATGTTAGGAGCTGCTTTTAGTAATGTAACAGATTCAAGGAAGAGAAATATTATAATTTCCACCAGAACACAATGCTGGAGATGGTACATGAGCAGAAGGGCCTCCTTTTCAACACCTAAAAAATGAGCAGAACACACTTGTATGGAAAATAGTTCCAGTAATTGTGATGCGTGTTCTGTTCTTCTAGAAGCCTGTGAATGCCACATTTTGCAATTTCTCTCTTAAGGAGCTGGGAGAGCTGTCCACACAATGTGGACTTAAGTGGACTGTGCTGTCCATGTAACTGCCACACATTCGTGTGGCTCACCCTCTCTGCACAGCAATGAGGTGCTCTGTGTCTCTGTCCACTTGTCACCCCTGCACACAGCAGGAGGAGGCTCATGCTCCTCCTAAGTGCTGGAAAGTGTCTTGGTTCCTCTTCATCCCACCATTCAGATTGGTCCAAATTCTGCTGGTCACAGTGTTGGGACCCCAGGTGGAGGTCTGTTCAGGGTGATGTGAAGGAAACCGTCTCTGAGAACATGTCCCTCCAGATCACCTGCAGAGGGCATTTTGGGCCTGTGATGATGTCAAGATAAGTAAGAGAAGCAGAGGTCAGGGATAAGGACACTGAATCCAAGAGTGGACAACAGAATTGTCCAGAGACTGAGAGGTGGTGGGTAAACAGTGGGGACCCTAAAAGCTCCCTCTCACCTTCCCCCTGAAGAATAATCAGCGAAGGCCCCTGTGGCTCTGAATGGGCCAGAGTTGGGGCAGCAGAGTGCTGCAGGCCCAGGGGCTGGTGAGACCCCAGCTCTGTCCAGCCACTTGATCTGTGTGGGGTTGAGTCAACTTAATGAGTGATCCACAGTCTACAACTTTGAACATGAAGAGAAATTCCTGTGCTGTCCTTTCCTCTTACTAAGACCTTTCTTCCTAACTTAGAACTGACTTTGCCGTCTTTGCTTAGAAGCCTCCTGAGGTGGTGAGAGTGGCCCAGGGACTGTCCAGGGTGCTGGATGTGAGCTCAGATCAC